TTCCATAATCGTATGGACAAATCTTATGTACATAATCTTTTGTACGTACAAAACCCTGCAAAACTTCTGATAAGGTTTACCACCAACTAAACAGGTCTAACCTGTTATCTTCTCACAAATCTTGTTCATCTGCCTCTATTTCTCATCTATAACAGGCATCATTATCTTCCTATTAATATGGAAATAAAATCTAGGGATCGTTGGCTCATCCTTTTTCTCTGTCTCTGTTTCCTATTCCTTCATAATTCTTTTTGCAACTTCACACAAATTTGCCAATAAATAGGACTGGCAGAGGAAAACTATCCATAAAGTTAAAAAATAAAATAGAGTACATACTTTATTCAGATTTTTTGGGATTTTTACCTTCTGTGTTTTGTTTTGTTTTGTTTTTTTAATTTTAAAGAGTTAAACTACGAAAATGTTGAATAAAATAGTGGAATTATCAAAACAGTCCCCTGTGTCTTCTGGTTTCTGTGGAATACAGCAAAACTCAGTCTATTGTCTGTCACCCTAAACCACCTTTTCTTTTTCAAATTATGTTTCTCAATAAAAAATTACTTTGTTTTTAATTCCCTAAATAAATGGCACTGTTTAATGCCCCATGCCTATATTGGCTTTCCGCTTGGATGGTCTCTTTCTCTCCTTGTCCAGCTAGTGAATTTTGATTAATCCCCTAAAACCTAGGGTAAAAACCATCTATTTTGTGGTTCCATTCCTAAAAATGCTATTAATCAGTCTATAACAGTTTTAATATCATCCGTTTTGGTCAATCTGAATACTCAAATTTCTATTGTGTTTTAAAAAATTTTTTATCACTTCATTTCCAATTTGACTGAATTGAATACAATTTCCCTTTCCTTTATATAGACATGACATATAGAATTTGAGATACACATTTTACCAAAAGGAGACTGTATAAAATTTGATAGAGTAAGGTTTTTTTTTCTTCGAGTGTATGTGCGTGTGTGTGTGCATTTGTGTTTTTAGGATCTTCCCCTTACAAAAAATATATATATATATATATATATATGTACACACATATTTTTTATAAGTACACACATATATATGCATGTACATATATATTTTTGTCTAGAAACAAGTCAATAAAAGTGAACTGAATTGCAACCAAGAAGCTTTTTTGAAATGGTTAAGATTTATAATTTAACATTACAATAAGCATTGCAATTAAAAATAATTAGATTATTTTGGATTGTGTAAAATAGTACTGGTGACATATTTTTTGTGAATTAATAGTACTTTGATCATGAGTCATGAAGATAATGTCCAAGTGAATCAGTGCCGATTTTTTAATTGATGTAACCTCCTCTTGATTTAAATTGCTGATAGTTTACAGCTCTTTAATATTTCCAGGAGTAGAGAAAAGAGAGGCAGCAAAAGATTCAATTTTGTCCATTTGGTTTTGACTATTTGTAAAGAAGAATGATTACAGAATGCCAGGGAGGATTTTCTGTAGAACTACCTGCTAAATCTTTCTTTGCTTTTATCGTGCAATGAAAGTATGATGGAATTATATATACCAATTTATTAAGTTAAAGAAATAAATTCAGTTGATATATGCAAGGTCTTCAAAAAGTTCATGGAGAGATTCCCATTATCTTTTAATTTCATTTTCTATGAACTTTCTGAAGTACTGTCATATAATTTTCAACTGAAATTTTTAATGGTCATTCAATTGGGTGTAGACAAGAACAGAAAAAGATTCTTTAACTTGTTGGTAGTTATTATTTTTTTTATAATAGCAGTAATCAATGACATTTGTGGAATTTCTAACATTTATTAGCTTCCTATTTATCATCTCATTTAATCCTGACAAAAACCTCTTTCTATTGGAGCTAAAAACATTATCACCATTTACTACTGAGGAAGCTGAAAGTCACAGTGATTAGGGACCTTAACTAAGATTATACATCCATTGATGTTGCTGAAGAAAACTGGAACTCAAATCTCAAAGGAAGCTTCAACTAACTTTTTCCTAGCAACAAATTCAGTTACATTATTTGAGCACTTAATATTGTCCAGGTGACAGGCTGGATTTGGGAATCCCCAGATGAAAAGACATCTGGTTCCTTCTAAAAAGCAGTCAAATTGTAAAAAAATGAATTCTGCTCCTCTGTGTTTTTTTCCTTCCTCAGACTGGTAAAGAGCCTAAAGTGCAGTGATGTACCAAACTGGTGGATATAAGAGGAGACTGAAAAAGAAAGAAATCTGGGGGGATGGATTATGGAGAAAAGTTTTACGTGGCTTATTGTATGTATTAAGAACAGATCTGGACCCCAACCAAGACAGTGAGGATGCGACAGACTTGAGAGGTACAAGGTATTTGGTGAGAATTTTAACAGTAGTTAAGAAATTATGGATACCTGGAATAAGGAAAGTGAGTGGCTGAGTATAACACTTTTAATGTTAAAATACTCACAATTTAATGAGTGATTGTAACATTAGGGTCAAATAAGAAGGAAGGAGTGACAAGATATATTTTTGTCAGCACAGACTTCCTTCCTTACCTCTTCTCTCTATTCTCATTGATAACATTCTTACCTAAATTTCAGACTTGACTTTTCTACCTATGTATTTTTTTCTCTGAGTGAATATTACAATTCAGAGGCAGACATCTATTTTCATAGAAAAAGGGAAAGTCTGCAGGGATAATCTGCAAGAATAGAATTCTTATGTCAGTAAATTCAGGGAAACATGACCAGGTCATCAAAACCGTATAGAAAGTTGGGCAATTAAGGAGGGGAAAAATATAAAAAATGAGGACAGACAAGAAAAGTTGGCATTTCATTAAATGGGGTACAGTATTTGAGGCTGAATTACAAGCACTCTACTTCCAGCTGTCCTGCCAACATGAACCCCTTCTTCCAGTAGACACCATAGAAAGTGAAACTAGCCTGTCTAGTCTCATCTTGGAATGGTCTGCAGAAGAGCTGGGAAGTATTCGTGTTCCAGACAAAGAATAAGGTAAGAAAAAGGAAAAATTTGAGGTGCAAACAAAAACTGTGGGCTTGAGGAAGTATGCGGACGGTTGGTAATGATAAACTGTTGTTTATTTCAGCAGCCTCTAACTCATTCAGTGTGGAGAATAATAAAGCCATAGCCCTGTCACCTGCTCTGTCCATAGCCCTGTCACCTGCGCTGTTCAACTTGTCAGTGTTGCTACCTAAGAGAAGGTATGAACTGAATAAAGACCAAATGTTGCCCGTTCTGCTGTCTCATGTAAATTGACCCTAAAGGGTAGCCATCCAGGTAGCCTGCCTTCTAATCCATGCTTTATCATAATTTTGGACAGTCAAACATGGGCTTAGTATGTGTCTTCACCATCCATCTCATAGACAAAGCTCCACCTGAAATTCACACCTGATTCGCAAATATTCTACAAAATTCTGCTTTAAAAATAGATGATTGACATCAGGTACAAAGTGAAGAAATTACAATTTAAAAAAAAAAAAAAACTATTTTCATGAGGGTTTCCTGAATGTCCACCAATAGAACTACTTTAAATTTAATCCACTTACCAATGAAGATAATGTGGATAATTTGTTAATTATGGAAAACTAAAATGATCGTAAAAGTACGACCTGAATGTCCACCAATAGAACTACTTTAAATTTAATCCACTTACCAATGAAGATAATGTGGATAATTTGTTAATTATGGAAAACTAAAATGATCGTAAAAGTACGAGCAATAAAAGAAAAAATAAACAAATGGGATTATATCAAACTAAAAAGCTTCTGCACAGCAAAGGAAGCAATGAACAGAGTAGAAAGACAACCTATGGAATGGGAGGAAATACTCACAAACTATACATCTGACAAGGGCTTAATATCCAGAATATACAAGGCACTCAAACAACTTCACAGTAAAAAATCAAATAATCCAATACATACAAATGGCCAACAGGCACATGAATAAATACTCAGCTTCACTCAGCATCAGGGAAGTGCAAATCAAAACCACAATAAGACATGATCTCAACCCAATTAGACTGGTCAGTATTAAAAAGACTGAGAATAAAAAATGCTGTCAATGATGTGGAGAAAGCAGAACCCTCCTACACTGCTGGTGGGACTGTAAAATAGTACAACCATTATGGAAAGTAGTATGGGGGTTTCTCAAATAACTACAGATAGAGCTACCATATGATCCAGCAAACCCACTTCTGGGGATGCACCCAAAGTCATCATGTTGAAGGGACACCTGCACTCCCATGTTCATTGCAGCTCTATTTACAGTAGCCAAGACATGGAACCAACATGAATGTCCATCAGCGGATGACTGGATAAGGAAATTGTGGTATATATACACAATGGAATTCTACTCAGCCAGAAAAAAGAATGAAATTTGCAACAACATGGATGAGCTTGGAGAAAAATTACGTCAAGTGAAATAAGCCAGACACAGAAAGAGAAATACCACATGTCCTCACTCAAAAGTATGCTAAGAAAGAAGGAAAGAAAGAGAAAGAAAAAGAGAAAGAAAAGACTACAATAATGTTGATCTTCCAGAAGGAGAAAACAAATCTATGGTTACTAGGGGTGGGGGGGGTGGGGGGAGACATTGGGTAAAGGGCATAAAGAATAATTATGATTTGTACTAACGAACATGCTAATAATATTGATTTGATCAACACATGTTGTACACAGGTGATGGTAGTCAATGTTGTACCCCCAAAATATGTATAATCAATTATGCTTCAATAAAAAAAATCAGAAAAGTTAAAAAACTTGAAGCTGTTAACTATAACACAAAGATGTAATTAATATTTCATCTGCAATAAGTAATTCTTAATATAATGAGAATATTTTAAAATGTTTTCTGTTAGTTGATTATTCGATTATTTAGTTTGTTCACCAGAAACTCAGATTACTGTAAATTTCTAATCACACAATTTTTATTACAGCTTGTTTTGTATAATTACATGTATGCTTGTGTAATTTTCCATTAAGGTATAAAGTATTGACGAAAATACCACTAACCTCTATGGGAAAGCAGCTTGTCAAATGATTCACCCCATTTCATTGCTTCTTCAGGGGAGACTCTGTTCAAGAAACAAATGTTTTATAATAGAGTATCCAGAAAGTCTGTTTATAAATCTTCTCTAACATATGCCATATTACTGTTCTTTTCAATTATATTTTACAGGGTTCCTTCTTTGATTATTATATGGCGAAAGTTGCATTTACATTAGAAACTTCAAAAACATTTTCTTTTGGATTTTGCCTATTGAACAATGCGTTAAAATAGCATAATATATTCTCATTAGTTTGAATTATTTTTTAAGAAAAAAATAATCATGTGTTAGGTTAAAAACACAACAAATCAAAAAGGAATCAGCTCAACTATCTTTTTAAATTGGGTGACTTCTTTGATTATTATATGGCGAAAGTTGCATTTACATTAGAAACTTCAAAAACATTTTCTTTTGGATTTTGCCTATTGAACAATGCGTTAAAATAGCATAATATATTCTCATTAGTTTGAATTATTTTTTAAGAAAAAAATAATCATGTGTTAGGTTAAAAACACAACAAATCAAAAAGGAATCAGCTCAACTATCTTTTTAAATTGGGTGAATAGAGCTTAAACTATCTTTCAGTCAAAAAAAAAAAAAAACGTTTTTTTTTTTTTTTTTTTAATGCAATTTCCTTGAAGTTTTAACCACAGTATGCTGCAATTTTTTTTTAACTGATACAGGAAGTTTGACTAGTGAAGTTTCAAAGGGATAAGAAATATAAGACATTTTTAATACAGCAAACATGTTAGAGACATTGATAATGTAGAGAGGTGAATATATTTTCTTGGATTTCGTGTTGGTCATATTCAAATTTGGAAGAATTTGTATTTAATATGTAAGGCTGTTCCATTTTTTGTTTGAAGTAAAAAAATGCTAAAAACTACAAAACATCTTTTATTAGTGCTTTACTTGCTATTATACATTGGGCATTTTTTCACACTGCTGAGGAAAGAGATGAATAACTCTTCACTATGACAATATTGCATTGTAAAAACTCAAATTAATGAGTATTTTATCAGTTTATAAGGAGTAAAATATATCACTTAAAATTGACAGGTACATAATTTTAAAAGAGTATCTTTAAATGTTCTTATTATTATTTAATTCATGCTATTAAAGTCATTTAATTTTATGAAATATTCCTAGATTCTTGAAATAAGATCTCTAACTTTTTTTTTATATTAGTGTGTCATTACCAACAAAATAGAAATCCCTAATTTCCTTTTCTTTAAATCCTTAACAGTAGAATTAGCAAAATTTTCCCCCAATAATGAAACGTTATTCACCTTGTTTCTTTGGCCAACTGCCCAGACCTACCAGTATGGGTCTCTTCACGAAACTCAGGTTTCTGCAAGAGAAGACTTAGCCTATTTCTTTTTTCCTTAGCTCTGTAATAAAAAGGCATTAGCTTCAGAATGATTTAAATGACAGGTAAAATCTCTTCTTCTGACTACCAAACAAGTTTGAAATTGGTAAACACATCCACCCACACACACATTCACGAATCTCACTTCAATACTATGTTTGTGGACGAATTAGGGTAGCATATGTGTATGTTTCTCTTTTTCCTCAGTTCCAGTTAAGTATTTGAGATTATATTTCAATAAAGACTGTACTAGTTCTGTGTGGCTAAAATTGTTAGTCTTTTTTGAAAACGAAAACACCTTAGCTTTAACAGTTTACTCCTAATCAATAAAAAAGTGTTTTTAATTGCAATATATTGTGAATCAGATATTTCAAAACCAAGTGCTAACTAATATTCAACATCAATTGTAGCTTTAAAAGCATAAGGCTAACCTAAAAGTTTATAATTTTACCTGATCTTGGCTTCTTTGCTTGTTTCTTCTTTTCCTGAACCGTGTACTAACTTGAAAAAAGTTTTTTCTTTTGATTCGCACATATTTAATTGAGGAAAGAAAACCAATGATGTTTCCATATTCTCTGTCTCTAAAATAAAGAGATGTCTAATTTATTGTATCCTCTGTAGTTCACTTGGTAATGCGATTCCATAGTTACACACCTAGAATAAAAAGTTATTGCAACTCTTTCAGCAAAAGTTACAAAAAGAAAAGTCAAGAGCTGTGTTTCTGCCTCTGCAAACATGTAGAACTGAGGAACTGAAGGAAAATTCAGTTCTGAGTTGTTTAGGGAAATGATACTACACATTTGCAAAATGACTCTTGGTCTTCAAGATAAGGACTGGTATTACCACAGTGCAACTTCTCTTTCAAGTTTGTGCAACCAGAAAGATGCTTTAATAGACTCAAATGACACTGTCATTTCTCACCGGAACTTTTTGATAAGTTCCTTAATGTATGTAGTGTGTGTTAAAATGTCTTCTGATAAAGTATTGCAACAAACATTACGAGATATTTTCCGCTATTATTTAAAGTATTTTTACTTATTTTTCTTACATTAAGTATATTACATTTGATTGACACAATGTTATGTAATGTTAATTGTATTTGCCTAACGTAAACATATTGTATCAAAATAAAACTATAGATCAGAGTTTTACAGTTGAAAGAGACAGTAGAAAAGCATTTAATTGAATAATTTGTAAATACGGTCCCACGGAATGATTTTAGATATTTTTGAAATTTTTAGCAGTCTGTGATAAAATGGAAAAAATAACATGGAATGATTTTTTCTTAAAGCTATATTTTTACTTTTTAATATAAAACACTTTCCTATTATAAATTTGTCCTCCTGGCTCTTTTGTTGTTACAATTTTCTTTTTAATGAAATGTTTTAACTAGAGATGGCAGCTTACACATTTGTTTATTTCATGTCCTTACTTAAAAAGAAATATTAACAACTCCAAATTGGTTAAGCCCCCACTTCTTTCACTGTTTCATGAAACCCAACAGTCTGAGAAATACTGATCTAGTCCATAACTCACATTTTATAGAAAGAGAAACTAAGGATCGCAGGTAATAAGTAGTTTATTCTTGCAAAACCCGAGAGAGGTCGGAGGAAGATCTGGAATTATCAGAGCCTTTGATCACCGGTAGCGTGTGCTTTAGTCTTTCCAAGAGCCTTTGATCTCCAGTAGTGAATGCTTTAATTCATCTAAAATTCTGTACATTAAAAGTTAGGTTATACAAATCCAAAAAGTTATATTATTTTATTTTTGGTCTTTTTGAATTATTGATTTACCAAGACAATAGTCATCAGGGATTCCAGCTAGGAGCTCAAAACATTTACTGATGTAAAATTAAAGAATATAATAGTATATATTTGGACATATACTCTCCTGATTTTATGACTTTTATTTTGAAAAATATTTTTAAATTCCTTACCTTGGCTGAAAATTGACTGGGTTTTTCTTTCTCTTTTAAATTTATTTTTCTTAATTGACCCATGCTAATTATATGTATATTTATAGAGTACAATATGTGAAAACTGACTGTTATATGACAGCATTTTATGGCATCCCTAGCTGGAACTAGATGCTGTTAATGCAGATTATTCTTCCATTCTGATGTCTTCTAATATTTATTAGCATCTGCCAAGTTTATATATATATTTTATATGAGTTTTAATTTTATAAAAGTGAATGAGGGTAAGGGAAAATCATAGCAGCATAGACATCATCCAGTCCCTAAGACTATCTTTGAACTACTCTATGCAGAGGAGGGAGAGACATAAACTTGTGCTATCCACAAGCTGATAGAACGAGGGAGAAAGAAACTGAAAATATGAGCACTAATAAACTACTACAAGAGCCCATGTAGATGTCTGAAACTATTGGGAAAGAAATGTGTGAATCTACTCTCTGTATGTGGACAGGTGGGAGCCGGAGCAGGAGAAAAAGAAAAAATAGATGCTTAATGGTGACTTCAGTTAACAATCATTCCTTTGGGCATAAAAAGTTATCTTTTAATGTTTTTAAGTGATAAAAAATAGTATTTTATATTTACACACGTTTACCTTTTCTAGCTCTTTACTCCTTTGTGTAGACCTGAGTTTCCATATGTTATTTTTGGTTTTTTTAGCCTAAAGACCTTCAACATTTTCTGTAGTAAAGATCTGCTGATGACAAATTTGCTCAGCTTTTGTCTGTTTTTTAGAAAATGGGGTCTTCTTGTTACAAAAAGCAGCTGAACAGTTGACATTGTAAAAAGATATAAAAATACAGGAACTCTGAGGTTTTGGAGGAATTTCCTGACAAACAGTCTGAACTAAGGGGATCTCCGAGAAGTCAAGGTCAGGGCCTGGGTCTCTGACCCCTGCCCTGGGCCTGGGTCCCCTTCCTCTTTCCCATGAGCACATGCTCCAGGGGCCTTTTGCAGGGCTGACCAGAAACACTGGCACTCCCCACCTCCTGGCTTCAGCTCAGTAGCTCTCAGGGGGGACTTTGTACCATCTAGAGTGGCTCATCCCAGGGGCTGAGCTGAGGTGGGGCCTGCAGGGAAGCCACTTCTGGGTCTGGTCTGGAACTGGTGTCCCAGTCCCTCAGCACTGCCACCCTGCTGCTCTTCACCCACACCCCACCCCTGGGAGGGCCCAATGAGCTTGGCCTGGGTGGGTTGTGCTGGAGAGAAGATCCCTCCCCTGCCCTGGGCACAGGGCTGCTCTCCAGGATGCTGACTCGGAAGGGGCTCATTTCTCTGGGGGGCTCCTTCTGATTTTCTGAAGATCTTTTTTTTCTTTGGTGTACACGTGGAATGGTGAAATAAAAATATTTAACATACCTATTACTTCACATACTGGCTTTTTGTGGTGAGAAGACTTAAAATCTATTCTATTAGCAATTTTCAGATATATGTTTTTAAACGCGCGCGTGTGTGTGTGTGTGTGTGTGTGTTTCTATTCTTTAGGTAGGATGTCATACTTGTGTCTTCCGGACTTCAATATTTCTTAGGAGAAGTCAGTGCCTGTGCTTTAATATATATATATGTGTGTATGTGTGTATGTGTGTGTGTGTTTTACTGTGGCTGCTTTTAATATTTTTTCTTTATCTCTGTTTTTAAAAAGTTTGATTAAGATATGAATGTTTTTTTTCTACTTGGAGTTTATCAAACTTGTTAGACTTGTAAGTTCATAGTTTTCATCAAACTTGAAAACTTTTAGGCACTAGTCTTCATTTTTAATTTTTCTGTCTCCCATATTCAGAGACTCCATGTACAGAAATGTTTGATCTCCCAACACTGTCTCTCTAGGCAATAAACTATTCAATTTTTTCAGCCTCTTTTCTCTGTTCCTTAGCCTGGACAGTTTCTATTCCTGTGTCTTCACATTCACTAATCTTTTCTAGTGCAGCATCTAATGTGCTGTTAACTTCATCTAGTAGATTTTTTATTTCAGCTCCAGAAGTTTCTATCTTTTTTTATAGTTTGAATTTCTCTCTTCATTACATTCTTTCTTTTATTAAGTGTTTGAACATATTTATAATACCTGTTTTGAAGTTCTTTTCTGAAAATTTATCTCTGTGATTCTGGGTTTTCTTTTATTGACCAGTTTTCCTCTTGATGGTGGCATGTTTTCTGCTATTTCAGCTACATAGTAATTTTTGATTAGATGCTGGACATTTTGAATTTTAAAACGTTAAATATCAGGATTTTGTTTGTCTCTGTTTAATGATAATAAAGTTGATTTTGGCTGCAGTCATTTGTGTATCAACTGTTTTCTTTAAAGACTTGTATTTACATTTTGTTATGATGGGTCTAGAGTAGCCTTAATTACTAAGGTACAATGAGCCTTAAATCTCTAATGAATTCCTAGGGTGTACAGCAAGTCTCTTCTACTCTGAATGTTAAGAACTTAAGAGTCTCTCAGCCCTGTGTGAGCTCTGTAACTAACTTTCATCTCATGGGAAGAATCTTTTGCCATTACTCATGGAGTTTTACCCTATACTTGAGTTTTTTGGTATTCAACTGGACTCAAAGGTACTGTCATACAATTTTATTTTTGGTACTCTTTCTAGTACATTGTTTTGTAAATTTCATCACTCTTGCTGTCAATATGTCCTCAACTAAAAATAGTGCTTTCTATTCTATTTAAAGAATTCCATTGTAAAATTCTTAGTCTCTAGATGAGATTTGTGTTCCTTCCTTGCACTTCAGTCTTTAAAAAAAAAGCCATGGAAGCTATAGGGTTCACTTTATCTGTCTCTCTTCTGTTAAGGATCACAGTTCTATGCTGCCTATTTTCAGTGTCTGAAAACAGTTTTATTATGTATTTTTCCAGCTTTCAAGTTGTTTATGTCAGGAAAGGATGTTTTGTATCAGTGAATCCATTATGATCATGACCATCTCTAATATATATATATGTATTTTTTTTCTGTATATGAATATCATTCCCTTTTACCTTGCTGAATTCTATTATTATTATTGTTCATAGAATTGCTCACAGTTTTCAATTAACTTTCCTAGATTTACCAGTAATCAGATTCCTTATAAATATTATTAGTATCAACAACCCTTTTTCAATTGTTATAACTCTAACTTATTTTCTAGTCTAATATCATTTATTTATAATTCAGTACAGTAAGTTGATACTTGGAATCCTGATCTTCTTTTCTTTGGCATTTAAGCAAACTAAGGCCCACTAAAATGAGACTAGGTCTTCGACTTATATATTGTGTGCATTTGCATAATTATGTTTCTTATTGTCTTCTTGTTATAACTTTGTATAGAATTTGACCCTGATACATTCCTGTTATTTTCATTTTAAATTAGTTTTCTTGTACTTTTAGAATAAGGCAGGATTCAAGAAAGCTTTTGATTAGTTTAATTTTAGTGATCACAGTGGTGGTAGTATAAGTATTCTGAGAATAATAAAAAAGAATGATTAGTGACTGTTCTAATTTATAACCCTCTGTGTCCCTGAGAAGCAGAATTTTCAATATAAAATAAGGGACATACAAATGCAATAGAGAATAATTTAGCTAAATGCTGTTTAATCTTGCAGTTTGATCGCAAGTATCAATATAAATGTAGAAAGTTGTTACTGGGTTTGTCACTGTTTCTAGTCTTTTATGCTGGACAGTGCTGGAATATGTATTTTTTCTACTTGCAGGTACTTCTTACCTCTTTTCACTGTAAAGGCCTAGAAACAATGTCTAATGCAGGAGCAACGAGATCTACATTGTAGTCTTG